GTGTTGGAAAGACTGTGTCTTTGTGCAGCACACTTTAGGCTCTCCTAAAATTTTTGCTGTGTTGCAAGCTCTCTGGTGCCCAAAGTGACATGTGCAACCCTGCCAAACTGCAAATACTCCAGCTGTGCAGCTGGTCAAAGAACAGGAGCTGGTGCTCGGGGCCTTGGGATGAATTCCTGTTATAATTTTCTCACAGCCCCTCTTGTTGCACCTTGGGGTTTAACAGGAGTGAGCGTGCTATGCCAGCAAGGCACAGTGTGGCTGACCAGCCCAGCCACAACTGAAGTATGACCTGATGTTCTGTCCTTCTGTATTGGTCAGAAAAGATGCACAGAGCTTGTGTGCCTGAGCGACTTGATGGTGTTACTGCTTTTCCCTGAACAGGAATGGTCCCTTGAAACGCAGCGGCCAATCACCAAGAAGGAGAAGAGTGGCAGGATGGCTGATGATGTCACACTGACCAGCATTTTGCCTGCACGGGATGGTGTTGTCTCCCAGACCCCTCTGCAGACAAGGCAAAGGTAAGGGCTGAAGCCTGGCATACATCAGGTTAGGAAAAGTACAGTCCTGTCTAGGGCCACAAATAATTTGGATTGACAGAAGTGATTTCTTCCTTAACTTCCTGTCTCTTGCCCATGGCCTTGCCTGTGCCACGCTGCAAAAGACAGGGTAGAAAAGGGGGTTTAGGGTAGCTTTCTTTTTTTTTTTATGTCTAGTACATACTGACTCACAAGGTGCCTTCCTTGCCTAGGTCTTAGTGATGCGATTTGGCCCGCTCAGACTAATGCTGTGTGAGTTTTGGCATACATTTCCCCAATTCCTCTTCCTCCCAGGGTGAGGAGAGTTGGGAATTGGCAGCTTTGCCAGGGAGCTGTACTGTTTCCTAAATTCAGGCATCAGATTTTTTTTTTTTTTCCCTGGGCACGGTGGTGAGTACTACCTGACAAGTCTGGGTATAGCTGCTTCCCTTGCCAGGAAGCAAGCTGGAGGATGGGGAGAGGCTGAAGAGACTTAAGTCCTGTAGTTCCAGTAGCCATCCTGCTTTAAAAGGTGAACTCTGGCCTAAGTGAACTGGGCAGAAAAGAAGTGGGATATAAAGATGTCTCAAGGCCACTACTGTATTTCACCGTCTGTTGGATTCAGGGGCCCTATTTGCCAATCTACAGGTTTTCCTATCAAGAGGAGCAGAACAGCTTCTTCTATGACAGCCTGAGGGCACCTGCCCATGTGAAGTTAGTATGGATCATAGCCTCTTCAGGGGTTTTGGGCTTCCAGGTGCCTGTCCTCTGCTGCTCTTCCTCTCTGCTCTTGTTCCTGACTTGGAAAACAGCATTCTAAATATCTCTTTGGGATGGAAGACATGACTTTCTCCTGTCTGTCTTATTCTTGGCTGGAATAACTCTGGACACAGCTGGACTCTCCAGTTAGGACTGGCCTTCCTTGTGTGAGAGGGCCTGCTCGAGTAGGCTGTGGCCATCGGGAGCCGTGCATGTGTGAAAATACTTTGAGAGTGAGTTACCCTCCTGGCCCTCGGGGCTCTAATGCTGGGATGCTTTCAACCAAATCTAGTATCTCCAGGGATCTCTCCTCCCTGTTCACCCTCACTTGGCTGTTGGGCCTCTTGTTCTATAGCACAGCGGTCTCGGGGGGAGTCAGGGTGGTGCATGAGTCAGGGGGAGGCGGGTGAGAGATGAATCTAACAACCGTCTTGTCCCCTCTCTCCTTCCACATACAAAGCGGAGGGAAGGAAGACATTTCGGAGTGGTCAGATGAGGACACTCCCAAGAAGTGCCTGGATGCCAACGGGCATGAGGAGGACATAAAGGTACCAGGTGTACGGGTACGAGCGCTGTATGATTACACGGGACAGGAGGCTGATGAGCTGAGCTTTAAAGCAGGTACAGAAGCACTAATCTCTTACTAACCTTTTGCTGTCCTCACTCGGGCTGACTGAATGATGGAAACACTCCAAGAACTGGATGTCCCCTTGAAAACTGATACTTATTCTTCTTCCCCTATCCCGACCCATTGCCAGTTCCTCTGAGGTGGATGATAAACTGGGCAGCCCAGCCTGTTCTAGATGAAGAGACATTGAGGCCACATAAAAAGAGACTGCCTAAGCCTTGGTCACAGTGTAGGAAGAACAGACCCCAAGTGGTAAAACAGATCCTTCCTGCCTCCTCGTAAGGCATTTATTCTGCATTGTATCTTGAGACTTTACTATAATGCTTTTCCCTTGTGCCACGGATATAAAAACTGTATAGGTGGTCTGGATTGTCCTTTGGAGTAACTAGAAGATAGATGTTTTGGGAGAAAGCTCAGCTGACAGATATGCACTACCGAAGGCAGAGTTTAACTGGCAAAAAAACAGTTATGCAGATTGTTGCTCAAAATCAGTATCTTGAAAATGGAGATCCTGGCTCGCAGCGGAGGACAGAGTCCTCTGAGTTTGCTGGAGCAAACAGACCCTTCCCCTTTTCTTCAGTTAAATTTAGTTTGCATGTCCCATCTCCTTTAACTCCAAGAGGACATCTGGATCTTGAGAGTGTCTCTCATCTTGCTTGTTTTGAGTGTTATGTAGTATCTCCAAATTACACCTGTTTTAAAAAGGCACTGAAGTCTTTCAGTAGCAGGGGCTTGTGCCTGAGGCCACTATCTGTGCTGCAGTGTTACCATACTCATAAACTTCTGAACACTAACTTGTTGCTCTCAAATATCTTACAATATGGGTGCTCTAAAACTTGACTCTTTGCTCGCTCTCTCCACCCAGCAGATGCAATGAGGCATAACTGGTTAGTTTTAGTCATGCCCTTTTTGAATCTGCTCTGAGCAGCATGCACCAACAGGGCTTAAGCTTAATACCCGATGACTTTCTGAGCCTCTGCCAGCGTGGGATGTGCCTGTTGATGCAGTAGGACCTCCCTCTCTGGCGGAAGTCTGACCTACTGGTGGAGAAGGGGACCCTTCTGCCCTTTCCCAAAGTAGATGTGGGAAGGTTAAAAGCTTTTCCTGGTGCTAGTCTGAGAAATTAGTGGATTCCATGCTTTGCTGGCCAAACCAGACACTCCATCATGGAAAAGTCATTTTGGGTCCTAACAGCCAGAGCTTAGCAGCCTCTTACATTTCCTTCCCACCTGCTACAGAGGAGACACTAAGGAGGAAATCTCTGAGATCGTTCTGATCTCTCTGGCTTTTGTACACATGTTCTTCTGGGGGGAGGAAAGCAGGCAGAAATACAGACCACAAAAACATTTCTGATGTTGAACAGCAGAAGTGAAGGTGTGCCTAAGTTCCTTGGCCTAGGGGATGCTACCGAGTATAGCTACTGAAGAGGTCAGTAATTCTGGCTTTGATTAAGCTGTGCAGTATGATAGGGAGTGTGATAAGGGCTGAAAAGTGTGGTGATTCAGACTAAATGGTCTTGCTTTTTATCAACTCTTCTGAGGTAGGCAAAAATGCCATGCTACTTTTCCCAGGGTTGCTTCCTAATGATTGTTTTTGCTCTTAGGTGAAGAACTAATGAAGATTAGTGAGGAAGATGAGCAGGGCTGGTGCAAGGGCCGACTTCTCACTGGCCAAGTTGGACTCTATCCTGCTAACTATGTTGAGAAGGTTGGATTGTGATTGCCACTGCCCTGCTAGTGTCTCACAGCCATACCAGCATCTCCTGCAGTGGTTACTGGGTCACTGTGGGCCCCAATCCACCTCTGCAGTATATCCAGCAACTTCTGGACTCGGAGGGCACATATTCCATGTAACTAATGCTTCATTTTAAACACCTAGACCTGTAGGGATTTTCTAATAAATAAACAAGGATGAGTAAAGACTTCTCTGACTGTGAGCACCATCGGAGTGTAGGAGTGCTCAAGGGAACAGATCCTCTTGACTCGCACTCGGTGAAGGGAGAGAAGTGACACACACAGCTCTTCAAAACAGAGAAAGCAGACTTCCTTGGCTTCAACGCACGCGCATCCATAGGGTGGTGGGGTCTACCCTGCCCCCAAGCTTCCTGTTCAAAGAACTTTGGATGTTCAGGGTAATAGGGAACTTGTAGTATTGCTTCCCCTTTTTGGCTCAAGCTGGCAGGCAGAAATCTATTTATTCTCCCCCATCCTTCAGAAGCCTTCAGTATCCTTCACCTGCAGGCTTGCTGGTTCCCCTGGTGAGGCAGCTGGTACAAGTGATACAGCTTCAACAGCCTGGCTGTCCCCTCCCACTGCTTTGAGATTTATTGGTATAACACCAGGGATGAACAATAGTATACCATGGGGACGGGAGAAAGTGCCTTCCGTCTCGCATGATGCGGCTGTTCAGGCTAACAAGTTGTGAACAGAACTGTCTGGCAGCAGGTAGGAGTTGACCGAATGTTCCCTGAGCTGGAATGACACACATTGAAGGCTGGTATTAACAAAAAAGCAGCCCCATTCCAGTGCTGTTCTGTTCAGGACCCCTAAATGCACTAGTAGGGGTTGGGGTTTGTATTGCTTCTAGATCATTTTGGCTATACCGGTCTTCTTCATGAACACTCAGTGCACAGCAGAGATGCTCTTCTTCCTTCCCCTACATATTCTTGACTTACACATGCTGGAAGTGCACTCCCTGCTTTGCAATGACCCCTGCAGTGTGATGAAGGGTAGTGGAGCATGGAAGCTCCCTGCTGGCTGGCACAACATTAGCTATAGAGGGATAACTCTTCTTCTGGTCCTGAATTGCTGCAGGGGGACTTACGCCCAGTTCTTAAGTGCCACCCACCAGGGAGGCCCTATCAAACCTCTTTATCTGGTTTGTCTTTCTGCCCTTGAAAGCCTCTGAGGCTACTGAGACAAAGAGGGGTCCTAACCCTAGTGCTCTGCGTATTCAAACATGAGGACTGATGCACATGTTCTGTACAGGATGAGCCCAAGAGCTTGAGGGAACAAAAAAAAAAAAAAAAAAAAAGGAAAAGCTACCACTTCTGAGAAAACACAGAAAACCAAACAATAGTTTAAAAAATGGCTTACCTACTACATCTGCTTGAAACTGTTGTTGAGATGCATTGTGAGTTTGCAGTAGCTTCTGTAGTGAGATTCTTATCCTGGGTTAGCATCTGTGAGGAACTTGGTTAAGTCAGACTCGCAAAGCGCAGTCCGTCCTCCGCCAGCCACACCAGGGCAAACTGCTTCAGAGCTGTTTGGAAAAGGGGTGATACAGGTAAGGAATTCTGAAGTCAGAGGCGAGCGTTTGGGATTAAATGATTGCAGAATGTTAACAGCAGCTCGTGAGCCAAAATGGATGTTTAACAAGTGGAGTCTGAAAAGGAGGTGGGGATGGACAGATTCAAACACTGTTAACTTAATGAGAGATGAAAGAATCACAAACACTTGTTGCCTGCCTGCTAGACAGAGCAGAAACTAACCTTTTACAGGTTTTACACTGGATCCCTTGAAATGTAGTCTGCCATGGACAAAGAGATCTGAGACCAATGCTCTTCAGCATTTTTGTTGGACCACAGAAATGCATCAGCTGTTGAAAGGTCTTGCTCAAAATATCCCTACCGCTGTACTTCATGAAGGGGGGAGAGGGGTGCAAACCAAAAGAACAAGGCTAAAGCATTTTGTTCTGACTCGGTAATGTCATTTCTCAAGAAAAGAGAAAGTATTCCCAAAAGGCAATTAAAGATCCAAGCAACAGACATTTAAAAAGCCTGGCTTTAGCTATGAATTTATCTGTTACTCTAGTTCCAATATTTGAAGAAACCTCTAAGCTTATGCCGTGTAATTAGAGATGTCAGTGTATAAGCACTTGGATTTATTTAAGGATCTAGTCTCTACTTTCAGTACTCTGTCCCAGGTAAAGTATCATCAGTGTTGTACTGTAACTGCAAGTGTTCCACTCGCTGACCCACAACTGCATCACTTGCTGCTGCTTTGTCCTAACACAATGTGAAGGTGAAGAAAGCTTGCCTGCCAGGCTTGGGAGATGAGAGGGATAAAATGACCTGAGATGGGCTATAATGAATACTGAAATTTACCTCGGTAGCCTGGATATTTTCAAACGTTAATGCTAGCTTTTCATAAAAGGTCAAAAAATTCTAGAAGGGAGTTACAAAGGATAAGGTGGAGGCTTGACTTCAATTCCTCTCCTGAGTTCTAGTCAAGCTCTAATGAGGGATGGAGGTAGGTGTGGTCAGAACCTGCTATGAGGACAGAAATGTCCAGCAGACAGGACCTCTGATTACAGTACAAACAACCTGAAATTCCATGGGACAAAGTCTGAACAGATTTGTTTGTCCTAGGAAAACATGACCACCTGATCATACTGGGCTGCTTCAAGGTTTCCAGAAATAGGGGCATACTGCAGCTGGTGTGAACAAGTCCCCTAAAGGAATGTTTGTACATCAGAAATTCCTGCCAAAAACCTAACTAATGGACAGGAGACCACACATCGAGAATGAAGGGTTGCTTGGCTGGACTGTACACTGTAAATTTTAGCATGGCACTTGGCTGCCTGGCTACCCAAAACCAAATGGATTAGTAAAAGAGAGCTTGTGTAGTAAAGAACCAGCTGGAGCAGGGGGGGGAAAAAGAAAAAAACCCAAACAAACAAAACAAAACAAAACAAACAAACAAACAAACAAAAAAACCAAAAAACAAAAAACAAAACAACAAAAAAACAAGCCACAACAAATGCATCTAATGATCTATTAAACTACTAGCTCTGCCTGGAGACTTAGTTTTCCATAGAAGAAAATGAGAGTTTGTTAACCACAAAGGCTCTAGTTGAAACTTGTCATCTATGCCATGCCAGAAGTTTTGTGTGTGAGCAGAGGCATGCACACATTAATTGCCGTGCCTGAATTCCAGAAGGCCAGCAAAGCCTATTCTTCCCCCATGGCTTCTGTAAAAACATACAGATGCATCTCTGTGCCTGATGGGCAACACAATGAAAGCATTATCTAGTCATATTTTATTTTTTTAATAAAGCCACTCCTTGTGGAAAGCTTGTACATCTGTGGTTGGTAGATAATTAATTTGGTTCTGGCATGTTCCTGGAAAAGCATTTCTGAAGTATCACGCAAAGCTTGGCTTTCCTGTTGATCATGAATTTTCTAGGAAGAGGAACTTACAGATTCTCTGTGACACCCATTTCCCCAAAGCAGCAGCTGAGCTTGCTCAACCCATTAACGACGTTTCTGCCCCGTAGGCAAAATCTGGGTGGCAGAGCCCACAGGACAGCTGTGCTCTGTGGCGGCAGCTGAGAGTTGTGGTTGGCTTCTGACTCTCGGTGGCACTCCCGCAGCCCGGCGTGGAGTCGGGGGCCGCTGGTGCTTTGGTTTACTTTCCATCCCACTTCCCCATCCCGTGTCCTTGCTGGTGGCTGTTTTGCTTGGCACGAAGCGGTGAGGCAGGTGCAAGCAGGAGGCAATGAGACCCCTCGGAGCTGTTGGAAGCTGCCCTGCACTCCTTTGGCCACAAGGCCCAAGGCAGCAGCTCCGGGGAGCTCAGCTCCGCTATTTCAGGCAGCTTCTCCCTGAGCGACGTCGTGCAGGCCGTGTGTGAACTGGGGCTGCCTCCGTTGCATTTCTAGAGCTGGCGGCATTATGCTTACGGGCATCAGGCTGCAAAATTCCCCCCTGCTTGTGAAGAAAGCTGGTGCTGGAGTTAAAACAGGCGTGAACACTCCACTCAGGCTGACCCGTGATTCTTCATAGGGTAACTGCGTATTGGCTGGCTGCAAATTGGTCATGGGGCTGAACGTGAAACAAAGCCAGGACCACAAACTCCATCTTGACCCATGGAAATGTGGTTGGAAAATATCAACTACAGGCTGTCGGGAAAGGTGGTGAAATACAAGCAAGAATAGTAAAGCTGTGGGATAGGAGGCAAAGGGTGACCTTGCACACACACACAAAAAAAAAAAAAAAAAAAAAGGAGAAACAGAAAAACAGAAAAAAAGACTTGAAACCAAGTGTTGCACCACTGCCCAGATCCAGGCTATGAGGAGCTGTAAAACTCAGGGGCTGCAGGGAGTGAGACTGTTTACCGAGCTACCTGGGTTCTTAGAAGATCGAAGAGGATGAATATGAGAAGATGTTTCTGAAGATGAACAAATCCTCGCTGAAAGGAGGGGGAGAGGGGACAAAGGGGTAGGCTGTGCAACTGCAAGAAATTGGCTGGTTTTCTGTTGAAACATCTTGACTAAGCAGTGTGGCTCCAGTGAACTTTCAGGCCAAATCACCTCAGCTGCTTTCAGCACATTCATTTTACTGCCTGTGTCCTCTTTTTCATCATTCAGTCACCCAGCTTGCAAAGGTTCCTGGTTTGTCAGTCTCTCAGCTTAAAGCAATTACAGCTGCAGCTTGAGACTTCCTTTCTCCACAAGCAATGTAGTGGTGGTCAGCACTTCTTCCGCCTTAGTGTGGGGGCCTATAATCTCTCCTCTTCAGTCTCAGTGCTTTCACTGGGTCCAGCTATTTACAGATACTGTAGTCCCTTCCTCCCTGCCTTTCCTTTCTACCTTACCAGCTGGAAGTCTTCTTCCAGGTCCTGCACTCTTCTGCTTTGACTTCACTAGCTCTTTCCTTCCTGAGTCTATTGTTCCTGCTTTCAGCAGGAGGTTGTCATCAAAACAGTCGCTGCCCCCAACTGCGCCCATGCTGGTCCTTTCCCTTAAATTCTCCTCAGAGCTTCCCTACAGGTGCTACACAGTTCCTAAGGAATGCTGCATCCACAGTCCTATGGATGTTTGTCTCACCAGTGGCCCTGCATCCTCTCTAGGCATTGTGGCCACCTGCGGAGCTGAAGCACTGCTACCTACTCCCTCTCCACCCAAATCCTTCACAATAACCTGTCTGACAGCAGTGCTTGCACTGTGTATGTTTACAAAAGAGCTTTATAGTAAGCCAACAGCTTTCTCATCTTGCCGTGCTCACCTTGTCTTTTCCATTAGCTCTGCCTGCTCTGCTTCAGCAAGCTTCCTACGCTTGTAGGGACTGTAAGCAACTAGTCCCTGTACGAGAAGGATTCAGTTTAGAAAACTCTGGAGAGTAGGGTGATCTTCAGGGAAAAGAGATTACATGTCCGCTGGAAGACTTGGAAGGGTCATGTCTGTTAGGAGGACATCCCTGCCAGCTCTGACCTCAAGCAAGTTAGTGCCTGTGCTGTGAACTGGCCTCAAAGGAGGGTGAGGTAGCTTGGGGCCTGCGCACTGCCCACCTTGCTTCCATATGGTGTGATGAGTAGGACTTGAAGCTGTATGTCACTTGTGTGACTGTCACCTGCCAAACAGCCTGCTCCTGGCAGGGATACCTGTAACATCTCCAAACTGAGCATTACAGCAAGGTCTAAAACTTCTCCTCCGATCCAGGAAACCCCAGGGCACATCTGCCAGCTCACCCCTGCTTTGGGGTATCCCCAAAGCCTCCAAAGTCCTGAGTACCTGTCAGGCCAGTCAGAGGTGATGCTACTAGATGTTTGAAAATAAACATTCAATTAGAATATTGGAAATGGGGGTACAAAAGAAAAGCCTGAAGACACACATATATACACACAGACACACACACTCACCTAACAAGTACTCGGGAGCAATCGGGAGCAGCATGCCCCTTCCCTGGCCCCAGACTCCAGTTCCCTTTTCCACCAAACCCCAGCAGTTTTGCCTGTCAGCCCAGCAATGTCGGCTAGAACAAGTGGAAGGGGTAGTCCTCTCTTCTCCCTTTCAAAGCTCCCTAGCCCTTCCCTTACTTGCTTCAGCAATCGCACAAGCAGATCAGCTCAGTCATGCAATGACAGTCAGCATTTGCGCAGGGCTAGGGACGCGACTCGGCCCACGGCCACCACTTGCCAGAGTGGTTGCAAGGGACAGCATACGCAGCAGGCACAGCCTTTTGGCTACAACACAACCCCTAGTTGGATCAAGCCAACCGTGGCTGTGCTCCTCAGTATCTCCTGAGTTACCCATCCGCTCTGATCCTTAATTTGTGTGTTCCTTCTACCTTTGCTGGCTTTTCTCCAAACCACATTTGTAAGATGGCAATAAAATCGCATAGAGTTGTAAACCTGAACAAAATACCTCTACACATAGTGTATTAGCTCCTTATCTTAGATCTTGCTGGAAGCATTGCATGGAGTTGGTGTGTGACACGACTGCCTGCCTCAGTGTTATACTTTTTCCTAGGGAGGCACCTACTAATTACACTCAGTCTGGCAGACTGGTCACCCACGACTCTCAGCCAGCTGCTTCCCTTGCATCAATCCCAGCAAATATGTAAACTTAGGGAAATGCAGGGCAGCTTGCTGATCTGACAGAAACCTAACCCAACCAAAGGAAAAGTCTTCTATATGATCCTTGAAGCTACAGGAAATTTGGAGCATCTTCTTACACTCTCTGGGAAGGGGTATACCTGCTGAGAATCCATCCCTTGCTCTAGCAAGAGGGAGAACGCTTTCTATCAGATTCTCCTTTCCTCCTCTCCTCCATTTGTGGCTATGCTTGCTCTTTCCACTACCAGGAATAGGCAGGCTGCCCTGAAATACCGAGCAGAGCTCTCTCCCAGGGTTACTGACTATCCCCAGGGGAAAACATACGGCTTAGTTAGTGTCTGTAAGCTGCTTGGTAAGAAAAAAAAAAAAAAAAAAAAAAGAAAACAAAACCCCTTGTGTTAGGAATTGCTGCTTTCCCCAAGGCATCACTGTAGATTCCTGGTACCCCTCCGCTCATGCTGTGATCCATGTGAAAGTGTATCTCCCATTTATTTTTTGGGAAGTTTACTGAATGTGCTGCCCCCACTCTCCTAATCTTCTCATTCAGCAAAAGCATTAGGCCAACAGCTCTGAGCAGGAGAGTGGGACTCAGCCACCTCATCCCGCTCCTGCATAGTCCTTTCACCCACGTTCTTTGCTGGGTAGTGGGAAGAACATGAGGCCCCTCCTCCCCTCTGTCTCCCTGCTTCTGAACAGACTCCCAGAGCAGCACTCTCTCTTCCCCTTGGCTCAGACCTGCAAATGCAGGGCAGGTTTTATCCCCATCAAAGGACTTCGCTCCTGAGCCTCTCCAGCCGACTTTCACAGTAACCTTATGTCCTCAGACAACAAGACTTCTGTACTGAAAAAGTGTCCCCAGTGGTATGGCAGACTCCAAGAACAAGCCTGGTCACTGTCCTTTGCTTTCCTTCACCCTTTTGGATGATGCTGGGGACTATCTTTTACTGACAGAGGTAGGTAACAAGCGAGGCGATCTCTGATTAGGAGGCTACATCGGGCTCAGGATCTGATGTCACAGCAGTGAGGAAGAAAGAGGCAGATGTCAGATGTGATGTAGATGGACAGGGAAGCCGAAGGCCAAAGAGCAGGCTGCCAGCTTGGAGCTCAGAAATTCAGCACCAAAGCACGTGAGATGCAAAAGAAAGAGATGCAGGAAATAGCAAGAACTGTGCAGTGACAGCACGCGCTTGCAGGGAACAGTCAACAGCAGGAGGTCTTTCCTGTACTGACAAAGGCAACAAAAAGAAGCTATTTCTCAGACCAGCAGCATGCTCTTCCTGCTGCTTCTATGTAAAACTGATGGACAGGATCAGCAGCTTTGCCAGGACTTGGAGCAACCAGCATGGGCTGGAAGGCCTGCAAGGGACCC